TTATGAAGTCAGAATTGTGAGATATAAACTCACAATTCTGAGAACATATCAGTCTTTTTTCCCCCCTCAAATTTGGACTTTAACTCGCAATTGCGAGTTTATATCTCACAATTCTGAGAAAAAAAGTCAGAATTGTGAGATAAAAAATTGCAATTACCTTTTTTGTAATTTTTTATTCAGTGGCGGAAACGGGCTTCCATAATTAGTGGTGTCAAATGATTAATAGCGATTAATCCCATCCAAAATACAATTTTTGCTCAGATAATATATGTGTGTGTGTACTGTGTATATTTATTATGTATATATAAATACAAACACATGAATGTATATATTTAAGAAAAATATGTAATGTTTATTTATGAAATATATTTATATATAATATAAATTATATATAAATATATAGATGTAAATATATGTAAATATTTTCAAAATATGTACTGTGTGTGCTTTTATATCCGTAATAAATATACACAGTACACAAACATATATCATGTAAACAAAAACGTTTATTTTGGATGCGATTAATCGTGATTAATAGTTTTCCACCACTAATATACAGTATATAGTTATAGCAGTATGTGTTGTCCTGCTTTTAATTTATGATAATTACTGCATTAGAGTAATGAGAATAATTATTTAGAATAATAGGAATGACAAAGAAATCATTAAAAATAATAACAAATACACATATTAAAGAAATGAGAATGGGGGGGGTGACTTAAATTGTCATGAAAATGTCACAATGTTAAAAAAAAACAAAAAAAAACGTAATGCCTGTTTTCTTTAAGCAAAATATAGTTTCCCATTTATTTTTTTTATATTGTGGTGAAATGTGTTTGTAAAGTTCAGCTGCCAAAGTAGAGCTCAACTCATTTGTCTTTTACATAACTCTCTCTGTCATTATCCGTGATTTGAATAGAGTATCATATTTGGACACTGGAAAGCACCTTTCTCTCTCTTCCTCTATCATTAGAGAGGAGCACATTGTGGCCCTGTTAGCTGTCCGCGGAGATGCCAGTCGAGATATGAGACAGATGATCATAGAGACTCTGAACCAGAACAAACCATCCACTTCCTCGGTGTCTCAGCCCGTCTTCAGAGACATCACTGTGCCATCCAACACCATGACCGCCATGACCTCTATGACTGTACCCAAACTGCTGAAATAATCTGACCTTTGACCCCTAGAGCCTTTACTAAGCCCCTAACAGGCCACAGAACAGAGTATTGATTCCCTTAATGCACTTTTGGAAATACATTCGCTGCCATCTCAATGGAAACGTCTCAGTGGATGATGATGTGCACTTGAATGGCAGCAGCTTGTGTTGAGACTGCAGATGATTTATGATGATTTGATGTACAGAAACATTTTCAGGATATTTCTTTCTAGCCTGCCCTTTGTAAAATGGTTGATGAATTAAAGCAGTAGTTCACCCAAAAACAAAAATCGTAATCACTCACCCTCATGCTGTTCCAAACCCATATGATTTTTTTTTCTGTTGTATAAATGGAGATGATTTAGAGACTGAACAAGCTGTTATTTTTCCATATAATGCAGCTATTTTGTAGGTAATGGAAAAACAACATAAAAGTGATCCATGCAGCTCATGCACTATATTTCATGTCTTGTATGTGAAACACAATTTAAGAAGCTATAAATGCACAAGCTTCCAAATGGCATTTACTCACACGTTACATTCAAATATGGCACTTCAAGATGTAAAATGTGAGTGTTGTTGTTGTTGATGTTAATCCTACGATCAACTGTGGCAAATAGCAACTTATTTTGGTCTGTTAATTGCATAAAAACTAAAATATACTTTCAGCTGACTTGGAATATAGTACACAAATCACATGGGCTACTTCTGTGCTACTTTTTTGTCATTTCTGAATAATGATAATGAGATTTTTAAACTATATATAGAGAGAGTGTGATTTTTATTTTTGGGTGAACTATCCCTTTAACAAATCATGAGGTTGCATTCAGTTGCTTTTGTGTCATTCATTCTCTTAAATAATGCAGTCACAATTTCTTTTTCACTACAGTGCTACACATTTATAAGCGTCCTGCTGGCTGCTATCTGGAACTATAATGAACCACTGAATTCCATCATGTCAGTTTTCATTTCAATAAAATCTGGCTTAACACTAAGTGATCTGAATGATTTATGATGTTGGCTTAAACTACGGGTCAGATCTGCCAGCTCAGGAGACACAGGCAGCTTGCCTGACGATTTAATTTGTAATAATCTCTCTCATCTCATTGGCTGAGCACATGTATATATATGAGACAAGGGGAGGAGCTCTGAGGGATTCTCATGAGTGAGAGAAAAGACGTCCACCGTAGGATGACATGCAATTAATGCACTTTTCATGCAGTTTTATTGATACAATGCAATGTTTTGAATGGCTGTGTTTAGGTTGTAGTACTAGCATACTGCTTACGCTTTTATTTTAAGAATGATGTGAAACATTGTGCAGTATGTAGTGAATGTTTCAAACAGCTGCTTTGCTGTCACGTGACCTCAGAATGTTTAATTTGGACAGTTGCATTCAATTATCTTAAAATACAAACCTTTTTTTTATTTTAACCACTTAAGCTCAGGGCGTTTTTTGGTATTTTCGCCTAAATTTAACATACTCGGATAGTTCACCTAAAAATTAAAATTGTTCCAAACCTGTATAAGTTTCTTTTTTCTGTTTAACACAAAAGATGATACTTTGGAATCAAAAGCAACACCACGAAATGGGTTTTTATATTTATTGCTAATATCTCGACAGAAATGATCAATTTGGCCAAAAAAGCAAATTTGATCAGATTAATTTGACCTCAGTACAGATTAATCAACATTTACATACAAAATACAGTAAACGTAAACTCAGAGGCAGAAATCAAACCTCGTTCATACAGTACAGCTTCATAAATCTATAAAAAGTGTAATGAATACAGTCGACAGGTTTCAACCTTGAGTAGTTAACTCCCTTTAGAGTCTATTTACAGATTAGTAACGATTTACCAAACCCAACGAAAGCACATTTAAAAACCTGCAACACACTGTTGTGGAAAGCAATTTGTCTAGTCCACCGCATGTTACTAACCATAAATGTGCTAAAACACCTGGACAAGCATGAAAGGCCTTGAGCCCTTCATCAAAATCTCTTGAAAATATCAAAATAAAATGTATTTTATAAATACAAACATGCCAAATCTCCTTTTTTTATATATATATATATATATATATAAAAAAGGCTGCTTTGGCAAAATCGCAATAAGATTTCAGAAATACAACTTTGAAATTTTAAATATGTACTTTAACACAATATATAGACTACTGTTATGGTATTTTTATGTGATTTATTAAAGGTTCACCCACCGTTAATCACCATCCTGTTCCCTCGATCTTGTTTAACGGATGAAAAACCAAGTGAGTTTAAAAGCGACATAAGGTGAGTAAATGGCGAGATATTTAGTTTTATGATATAGTTATGATGTTTTATAGTTATATAGGCAACTATAGTTTTTAAACTAACGTTACTCCTTTCATAATGCTCCTGCAAAGCAATCTCTTTTTGGTATATAACGTTACAAAGAAAATAATGTAGCCCTATTTACAAAAAGGTAATCTTTTATTATTTACAAATGAATAAAACAATAAAATGGAAAAAGGAATAGTTCTCCTCATTTTTTCATTATGAGCATGTCTGAAGGATTTCATCTGACTCCACACTTAAAGCACAGAGTGTCCTATATGAACACGCTTGAGTCTGTGAGGGCTGAAGCTACTCTAGTGGTCAGAGCGTGTAAATGAGAGGCAGTACTGCAGATTTGGCTCTTTCAGTGCATTTGAAACACCTGACTCACATTTTTCAGAGAACAACAGTTGTAGTGCATCGCGTTCAGAATGAGAACAGGACAAACCAGCGGTGTATAATGTTGCTAGAGCATCATTATAAACCACTATCAGCAAGAGAACAAGCATATCTTTAATAACAAAACAAACTCCCAAAATATTCAAAAAAATTTTTAAAGTACTTTTCTTGTCATTTTCTCCTGTAGCACGTATAAAAGCCTATAAAGATTCACCCGTGTCAGAAAAAAAAATACTGCACTAAAGGACTCAAGTTTAATTTTCTCATTAACTTCGCCAGACGCTGCGAATGAGAACATCAGCTCATATAAAATCCTTCTGACAACAATAAACTATTCTGAACCTAAAACAAAAATCATCTTGCAATCCATCCTATTTAAACTATAACATTAATATAATTTAATTTCTAAGAGAACCCATTATGTTTAAGCAACTCATCTTGCAGTCAAGTGTCATTTGCATTGGCTTTTTTTTTTTTTTTGCTCTCTGGACAAGGATGCTCACAAACAGAACAGAACTGAACTCTATCTCAAGGGTCTCTGGAATCACTGGCTGCCCGGGCTTTGGTCCCGTTTGCGGTCAATCGGTTTTATCTAGTGCTTCTGAGGAGTTTGGGGCAACATACTTCAGCCGGAAACCACCTGAAACATACAGACAGGTAAAGGAAACTTACAGAAAGGTCTATATGAGTGCTAAAAGCATTATGGAGCTAAAGAATACAGCTGGAAACAAATATGTCTCACAAATACTTAAAGCTACGCAAGTTCAAAGCTGGTTTAAAGCACTCTGTTGCCCCCTTGAGGTTTTTTTTTTAACTTCCACAGCAGAACAAGACGACGTTTAAGTTATAAAAATCGGTTCAGTGCGTCACAAATCGTGGGCACAGGGCATTTATATATATTTATATATATATACCCACAAAACAACAACAAAAAACCTAAAATCCAAAATAACCGAATGACTTCACGCACACGGATATATATATATATAATGGAAAAAGGAATAGTTCTCCACATTTTTTCATTACTGCTACTACTGTGTACATATATACAGAGAGAGAGAGAGAGATGGACAGATAGTATATAAATTTCTCATTAGTGTCAGCTAAATAACTAAACGTATATTTTTTTTATTAAACATTTTAAAGTATACAATGAGAAATGGGGATGTGCAAAAGTATAAAGTTGTTTCTCATTAGAGTCAGCTAAATAACTAAACGTATATTTTTTTTTTAAACATTTCAAAATATACAATGAGATAAATGGGGATATGCAAAAGTAAAATAAAGTAAAAATGTAGAAAATTTTAATTTTAATTTTTTCAAGAAAACTTGTAACTAAATATTGTGTGTGTGTGTGTGTGTGTGTGTGTGTGTGTGTGTGTATACATATATTGCTTTTTTTCCCCTCATTTGTAAGTACCAGCTAAATTACTAAATGTAATTTATTATTACTATTCAAAAAATTTTAAATACCCAATCAGGGCATGTGCAAAAAATTTTCACATCTGAAATAAATCACATCTGTGTTTGCATACTTGTAGAGCGTTTCTGGCATCTTCATACCTGTCAGCCCGGCGTCGATGGACAGTTGCTTGCAGTCTTGAGCGTAATGTCCGCTCATGCCGCAGTTATAGCAGGACACATTGTTGGTCTTCTTCATGTTGGTTCCGCTAGACATCATGCCAACCGGCGGAAAGACAGGTGGGTAAAAGCGACGGAAGGGGGGCATCTGAGGCAGGCTGTATCCCGCCGGTGACGCCAGCATGTGATCCGAGTGAGCGTGTAGGAACGCCGCAGGAGGACCGGTGTGGGCGTAGAAGGGCAGAGGCGTCCCATTATTCTGGTGACCCTGGGCAGGGAAACTGTTGCATAGAGACGGAGGGAGATGGAAGAACGGGGGTGGTGGCCCGAACATCTGACGGGCAGGCTGGGGCGGCAGGAAGTAGCTGGGTGTCTGGTGGGCGCTGTTGCCCGCGCAGGTTCCACGGCAGCCACAGGAGTTGCAGCCCCCCTGCTGCTGCATCCCGCTGGCCTGTGGCGTAACTGGCAGGCTGGAGCTGTTGATGTAGGACAAGGAATCACTCTGAGCGGTGCTGTGTGTGACTGCGGGGGGCGGCAGGGGCCCCGGTCCCGGGGTGTGCGTGGGTACAGTTGTGGGGCAAGGTCCTGGTACTTGGCTACTGCAGGAACTCGAGTTGGAAGGGGCGTTGGCAGTAACGGAGGCCTTTGCGTTTGTTTTGACGGGATTGTTGGCTGTGGTGGTGTTGGCGGGCTGCAGAGGACACTGGCTGGGCGAAAGGACACTAAACGCTCCCAGCGGTGGCTGCTGCTGTGGGTGAGTGCTGGCCGATGATGCTCCCGGGTTTTGGGCCAGCGGGATGGTGATGGTTATCTTACCCTGCCCGGCGTCCCTCTGGGTGGTGGTGTTGTACTGCAGGCCGTAAGGGAGGCATGCGGTCAGTGCCAGCTCCACCACTGAAGTCGGCTGCTGAACATTCTTGGGCTCTGCAACTAATGGATTCACCATGGCAACTGCTTTCCCGCCAACACCTTTGACAAGGTGAGTCTTTTCATCTGGTTCCTGGGCTGAGTTATCAGACTGGCTCTCTGTATCTGAAGAGACAAACATTAAACATTATGTAGATTTCATCTCATAAATCATAAAGGTATTAAACTACTGTGACAATGGACCCTCAAAAGTGAAAGTCATCAAAGCTCAGTAAACTTCTATAGTGGTGAACGGGAACTACACAAACATAATTTTTGCGTTTTCATTTGCCCCCCCCCCCCCCAAAAATACCCAGAAAAAATTGGGCATGCTGTCACCCAGCTTCATGCAAACCTCAACTTCAATGTTTTTTCCCAGACTCGGTCTGAATAATTTTTGGTTTTATAAAATGTTTTATGAGTTTTACTGGTAGTCCACCGCATGAAAAATTGTTGGGTATAATTTATCACAGTTTACTTTATTTTGCTGTCCTCACTTACATAAATGAACTATAATGTCCTGCACCCACTAGTAAAAAATATCAAAAATTATATCT